CCAAGGTTGAGTAAGGATATTGTTGATGTGTTGTGAGATTGTTAACCATTGTCACAGTGCAACATTTGTAGTAACTGTTAAATGAGAAACTATTTTGTTCTGTAAGCCTTCATCTTAAGTGAGAATAGCAGCACCATTGGAAGAGCGTAGTCAATGTCACTGAAGTGTACATGTAGAAATTTTTGAAATGGTGAATCTTTGGCCATGTGTATTTTCACCAAAAAAAAAGTTTGAGAAGTTAGAGGGTTGACATGTTGTGGGGTTGTTAATCAATGTCATAAAACAATATGTGTACTCCTGTTTCATGAGAAACTGTTTGTTCTGTAAGCCTTCACCTGAAGTACAATTAAAAAAAAAAAAAAGTCTTTCCTGTTGACACTTTGAAGTGACTGGTTGTCCACTGCATCAAGTGCAAAACTGTCATTCTTGGTCTCTCCAAACAGATATTCTGAGGAATCCCTGTGTGTCTCCCATGTTGGGTCTTTCACATCTTTTCCTGTCTCCCAAATCTTGTTTTGTCTCTAGTTTCAGTGGAGTACATTAACCTGTAGCTTCCTGAGAAAGAGTGTGTGGGCATTTATATTTTTGAGGATTTAATGGTGCTTAATGTCTTTTGGGAGCCCTGGTGCTGTAGTGGTTAAGAGCTCAGCTGCTAACCATAAGGTCGGCAGTTCAAATCCACCAGCCACTCCTTGGAAACCCTATGGGGCAGTTCTACTCTATGTTATAGGGTTGCTATGAGTTGGAATTGACTCAACAGCAGCGAGTTTGGTTTTTTTTGTTTTAATGTCTTTTGGTGAGAGAAAGATGTGGCAGTCTGCTTCCATAAGGACTTATAGCCTTGGAAACCCTATGGGGCAGTTCTGCTCTGTCCTGTAGGGTCGCTATGAGTTGGAGTCGACTCAGTGGCATTGAGTTTGATTTGATTTTGGTAATGTCTTTTGATGATATGTGAAAATCGTTTTTGTTTGCCCTATTACTTGATTGATAATTTGGCTGAGTATAGAGTTCTAGGTTGAAGATCATTTTCCTTCAGAATTTTGTACAATTGTCCTCTTGCTTGTGGGCGGCATTGCTATTGAGAAATCTGAAGCTGTTCTTAATTCTTTGTATATGTCTGGTTTGAACTTTATCTGGAAGCTTATAGAATCTTCTTTTTGCCTCTGGTGTTCTTCATTTTTATAGTTGGATTTTTACAGTTTAGGTCCTTGTGGGGTCTGTTTTCATCCATTGGGTAGTGGAGGTGGGGAAGGCCTTTCAATCTGCAAGTTGTGTCCTTCAGTTTTGAGAATTTCTCTCGAAGACTTCCTCTTCTCCTTTTCTCTGTTGTATTTATCATGAGCTATTGTTTTATTGAATATTGGACTTCCTATTTTGGTCCTCTGATTTTCTTATCTTTTATCTCCAGTTTTCCTCTTTGTCTTTTTTCTTCTTTGGGTATGTGTGTGTGTTTAAGTTTCCTAGAAGATTTCCTTATCTTGATCTTCCAACTCTTCAGTTGAATTTTTCTATTCTGCTACCATGTTTTTATTTTCTAAGAGGTATTTTGTTTCTCAGAATCTTTTCTAAAAATTAATAATAAAATCTTGTTTTTGTTTCATGGGTATAATATTTTCTTTTACCTTTCTGAGCATATTAATGAGTTTTTTTTTCTTTTATGTGCATAGTCTCTGTGTCTTCTCAATTGCTTCTTCCTAATGTTTGCTTTGGTCTCTCTCTTCTGTGCTCAGATGTCTATTAAACCTTAATTTTCTGCTCCCGATTAACAGTGTGGGGCTACATAGCTGATTGGAAGCTCAGAGCAAGTGAGTGGGCCTTATCAATTTTGAGCTTAACTATTGGGTAATTTTCGTAAGGTCTGTCGTTGGGGAATTCCTGCTGTCCATACATTTAGGTCTTTCCTCTTGGACTGGCCAGCTGGTCCAGAGAGGCCTTTTTGTGTTCCACTTGGAGCATGAGGATCTGGCTGGTAATATTCTGGTGGCTGAGTGGTGGGGAAAAAGCAAACTCATTGCAGAGTGGAACTGCCTCAGGGTTTACAAGGAGCGGCTGGTGGATTTGAACTGCCGACCTTTTGGTTAGCAGCCAGGCTGTTAACTACTGCGCCAGCAGGGCTCTAGAGTGGTGGAAGAGGCCTGCATTTAGTATACATACTGTACTTTGCATACAGTCGCTTAACTCCTCTGTTTTCTAATCTCTACCTTTGTTGAAAACTGAGCCTGGGATTCCTGGGTCCAGACAGCCTCAGTTTTACCTGCTCTAGAAACCAAACGTTTAGTGGCTTGAAGAGGGGAGACAGTCTAGGGACCTGCTTCTTAAACAGCTTTCAAGCCAGTTCTCTGTTTTAAATGCTACCTCCTCATTTCCAGTGTCTTTTGAGGATTGTGAGTATAAATTGGATTGGTTCTCGGTTTGCCCCTTTCGGATTGGGATTGGACTTTCTTGGGTCTCCTAAGGCAGTTATCACTTTTGTATCTGCTTTCTAGGTTTCAGTTTCTGTGGTGGTTTCTCTGATTTTCCTATCCTGTGATTTTGTCTTTAAAAAAATTTCCTTAGTATAATTTAAGAGAGTTTCATGGGGTAGCAAAATTAGATGTGTGGATTTAGTCTGTTACCTTAATCTAGAAACTGATATGAGAAACAGTACATAAAGTTTTAAATGTGAATGGATTTATGATACATTACTGATGAAATCAGTAATCTGCTATTTTTTAAAGTTGAACAGTAAAATTCTTTAAATTGCAAGCTTGGCAATGAAACTATTCATTTAAATTTATTTGCTTTAAAAGCTCTAATTGTAGAATCTCAACGTGCCTTTCTTAATGCACAATAAAGTACACAAAGTTTAATGATGAGTTCAAACAAATGGGGTGATAGCTTTCTTTATGCTGTAACATTCTGAGTGTTTTCTGTGTAAAGTCAAATAT